TGGACCAAGAACACCAATGTACATCAGAATGTGTGAGGGTCATCAATCGTTGTAACCATCTTAAACCCTGATCATTCTTCAAAACTGATTGTGGAAGGTGAGAAATAAACCACCTTGCTAAGAGAGGAGCACAACACATGAGAACACCTCTTTTCCTCATTGTTCGTGTGTAAAATGAGTATAGGATGTCCCCAGGCAATGTAGGTACCGGATTCCGGGATATGAAAATCTTGACAGCATTCACATCTATAAGCTGATCAGGGTTTGGGAACAAGACCAACCCATAGATGAGGAGTGCCACAATCTCTTCAAAGTCTTGTAGATCTAGAGAATTCCAGCAGTCTTGTGCCTTCTCAAATAGAAACTTTGCCAAGAATCCCTTGACACCACTTCTGGTCTCCCAATGACCTTTGATATCAGATGGTTGCAAGTGTAAGGCTTGAGCAACATCTTCGGGCTTTGATTCTTTTTCCGTACCATTGTAGGGTAGTTGATTAAGAATAGGAATTCTCAAGAGTTGAGAAAATTCCTCCAAAGTAGGTACTAGTTGGTAATCAGGAAATGTGAAACAGTGGTGTAGGGGGTCAAAGAACTGGAAGAGAACTTTCACCATGTCTTCTTCAATGTTGAAGTTGACCAAGTTGAGAAGTCTACCATGTCTTTCACTAAAGAGAGAATTCTCTGGAATCCTGGAAGTAAGCTCCTTGAGTTGAGGAGGGATTCTCACAAGGTTGACTTGAATTGTTTTCATGCGAAGAGATTCCATGACCTACAAAACAAGAACAAAGATGAAGATCCAAACCCTTGAAATGGTTAGTGGATGCATATGATTCTTTATGATGTTCATGATGTATGCACAAGCACATGTACAAACAAGTCACACAAAAACCCTAGTTTCAAGCTTGCATGAGGTTTCATAGGCAAATACCCTCTTGAGTTTAGTTGGCTCAAACCTGTCTTATAAATAGTAACCGGGTTCTAAGGAGCTCAATATCATTGGGTTGAGTTTGTTGTTTTGGTTTAGCCACTTAACTAGCGACCAAGATATTCCAAGAAAACAACCCTCAATGAGTGTAGTATCGAGTATCTACCAACTTCAGACTGCACCAAAGCCGGTCATCTCACTACCCCTAATAAAAGGCCAAGATGGTCAAGTAAGGTTCTAAGAGTTCATTAGTGCTTCATGACATCACTCAACGGCCCCGTATTCTCTTTGATTGACTCAAAGGCTACGGTACTCACAAATATGTCGCACTAATATAGCTATTGCTTCAACCATGTCGGTATACCCCGCACAGTTTCCACAACATATTGCTATTTACCTATGAATGTTTCCCAAATTCGGGTAGAGGATTTCAAGCCCAAACAAGAGAACCAAATGTAAAGCAATCAAAGCAAACAATATAATCATGCAAAGGGTGATCTAAGCCCTAAGGTTACTCCACTTTTAAAATCATCCCCAGAAGAGTCTCCAGCTCTGTGATACGGTAGGAGAACTGACTTGAGGTTTTTGCGTTTGTGTTTACAAATGTTTCGGTTTAGCAAGAGTCGCCACCAACTTTTTATTTTATGCTAAGGAAAGGTCAAAAAGCACATGAAAGACCTTTGAGATGTTTTCTTGGGTTAGGGGAGTAAATTATAGAAAGGGAAGGTATTAGCACCCTTTCTATCCATGGTTATCCATGGGCTCTTAGTTACTTGCTTAGATCACTTGCTTTGTTTTTCAATTGTTTGAAATGGTGCTTTGTGTGTGATTTTGAAAGATGTTTTAAAAAGAGGCCATCGTTGTGGCAACCTTTGTAATGATTCTTGTTTGAATGTATACAAAGGTGTTTTTGTCTTTTGAAAAGTTTTCAATATTTAGAAAGTAGGGTTTTGAAATTTGTGTTGTGAAGTGTGTTTTGAAGATAGCAAGGATGTTTTTGCAAGTTTTGATCAAGCAACTAAGAGTTGTCTACCCTATTTTACTCAAAGATCTTTCTTATGTTTTTAACCCTTTTAACAGTGTTGTTTCATTATTGTATTTGGTGAACAACCTTGTGTTAGGATGTTAAACGGGACAGGCGCGGTTCATCGTATAGACCATGATAACAATAGTGTCAAGTATTTTTGGCAATTTTCTTGAGGGACTTGATCATTTTTGTTTAGGCAACTCAGATAGCGTCATCGAGGGACTATGATCTTTGTTTTGTTTTTGTTTTGCCAAAGTACTTGACATGCATACCATGGCCCATTTTTGAAGGCAACAAGTGGAT